ATATTCTAGGTATTATCAAATGGCCTGAGTTTTGAGATTGCAGCGGATGCAAAGGACTATAATGCAGTAATATCTCGCTCAAGTACTGAGGAGCTAAACCATTTAGGGCTATATAAATAATTAGCAAGATTTTAAAATGATGTTCAATAGGGAGTCAATGCAGAGTTGACAGAACCAGGCTAATATGGTCATACTTCCTGGCTCTAGTAAGAACTCTAGCTGCTGCTTTATTTTGGACCAGCTGGAGTTTGTTTATTAAGCGCGCAGTGCAACCACCCAATAAAGCATTACAATAATCTAACCTTGAGGTCATGAACGCATGATCTAACATTTATGCATTTGACATTGAGAGCATAGATAGTAATTTAGATCTATTTTTAAGATGAAAAAATGCTGTTTCACAAATGCTAGAAACATGACTTTCAAAGGAAAGATTGCTATTAAATAGCATACCTAGGTTCCTAACTGATGACGAGGAATTGACAGAGGAATATAGAGCTGAGTAGCGTCAGCATAACAGTGAAAGCTAACACTATGTTTCCTGATGATATCTCCCATGGTTAGCATGTAAACCATGAAAAGTAACTGCCCTAGTACTGAGCCTTGTGGTACTCCATACTGCACTTGTAAACGATATGATACTTCTTCATTCACTGCTACGAATTGATGACGGTCAGATAAGTATGATTTGAACCATGCAATTCCACTAATCCCAACATAAAGGACATAGTTGTTAGGAGACTACCTTTTCTAGTATCTTTGACAGAAAAGGGAGATTTGAGATTAGTCTGTAATTAACTAATTCTTCAGAATCAAGTTGTGTTTTTTTTATTTTTTATGAGAGGCTTAATAACAGCCAGTTCCCTTTCAGTCGGTCACTCCGAGTCACGTCGGTGACCGACGAATTGGGATATCGTTTCGATAGACCAATCTACTTCGAGTGTAAACTAAACGAGCCAATGCACATTGGCATGCAATTATTGCATCCAGCTGCCGCTGATCACAGCGTGAGTATAATAAGGCAGCAGGTGCAATGCATACCAGCTTTTCGCTTCGGAGCTGAGCGACAACATCGTTCTGCTCTATATTAATTTCGAGAACTACGAGTTCAGCACGCTCTCGGAAGCTTTCTGTGTACCACCAGTGTGCAGCATCCACCTGGATGATGCGACGGCAGCCATAGTGCGCCAGAATGCCCATCACACACCAGCTTATTGGTGGAGAGGAGAGGAGAGTAATGAAACCAATCAGCAGATATGGGGATGGTTAGGAGGCCATGATGGTC